AATGTTTTCTAGAAAAACCATGAGTTAATGTTAAAGTTTGAGCTGTAGCTCCCTACCTCAAACTTTTATGTTGAAATCCTAAATGCTAATAACTTCAAAATATGATTATATTGAGAAATATAGTTTTGTAAAGATAGGATCTTTTCTTTCATTGTTGTTCTAGGGGTACATTGTGGCATTTACAAAAGTTCTTACAATATATCAAATGTATCATGGTTGAGTTCACCCCCTCGCATCATTCTCCTTTATCCCCCTCTCCCCATTCCTGGAATAGTTTCAGCAGTTCTCATTTTTCTATTTACATACATGTGTACACATTATTTGCACCACATTCACCCTCCTCCACCCTTTCCCTACCTCCTCTCCCCTCCCACTGGTTACCCCTACACACACCAGGCAGGACCTATTCTGCCCTCCTGTTCTCCGATTTTGTGAAAGAAAAGAAAGTGACATTTTTGTTTGTTTAAGGTAGCTATACAGAGAGTTTCCTTGTGAAATTTCCAGGTATGTATGTATTATAACCCATATTGGTTCATCTCTATTTTTCTCCTTTCTACCTTAGTCCCCTTCTTACGGTGATTTCAACAAGTTTAAAAATTCTACATTCATTCTTGTGTAAGAAGTACATCAATCATATTTACCTTTTTAACTTCCTTCTTTTACCCTTCCTCTCTCATTTGTGACCTCCCCTTAGTGTGACCTGTTTTTCATAATATTTGCTTGTACTTGTATTAGGTCTGTGTTCCACATATGAGAGAAAACATGCAGCCTTTGACTTGCTGAACCTGGCTAACTTAAGATGATGTTCCATCCATTTACCTGCAAATGACAAATTTTCATTCTTTATGGTTGAATAAAATTATAGTAAACAAATTAACCACATTTTCTTAATCTGTTCATCAGTAGTGGGGCATCTTAGCTGTTTCCATAGCTTAGCTATTGTGAATAATGCTGCAATAAACATCGTGCACAGGTACCTTTATTGTAACCTGACTTACATTCCTTTGGGTATATTCTTAGGGGTGGTATTGCTAGATCATATGGCAGTTCTATTAAAGAGACAAATAGGTGTTCAAAACCCCACTCCCACCAAAATAAATAATACAAAGAAGCAAATAGGCTTATAATCCTAGCTATTTGGGAAGTAGAGATAGAGAAGATTGTGGTTTGAGGCCAGCATGGGCAGACTTATCAAGACCCCAGGTTTCCAAATAGGTTACACATGGTGGTTCACACTTATAATTCCAGCTACATGCAAGACATAAGTAGGAAGATGGTGGCCGAGCAAAAAGCACAAGACCCTATCAGAAAAATAACTAAAGCCAAAAGGGCAGGGGGCATGGCTTAAGTGGCAAGTACATGCCTAGGAAGTGGGAGGCTCTGAGTTCAAACCCTAGAAACATGAAAAAGAAAACAGGGCAAATAAATAAATTAAAATGTGGCCTTTGGATGATCTTGTGAACTTATAAGAGGAGGAAATTTGGGGATACAAAGAGACACCAGAGGCATATGGCCACAGAAGGACAACCATGGGAGGACAAATCTTCAAGCCAAGGAGTGAGGCCTTAGAAACAACTAAACCTGCTGATGCCTCAGTCTTGGTCTTCTGGCCTTCAGAACTGTGAGAAAATAAACTTTTGTCCTTGAAAGCACCCATTCTTTTGTATTTTATATGGCAGCCCAAGCAACTAATAGCTACTAAAACCACCTTAAGTAGAGTTTAAAATAAAAAATGGAATAGACTTGCAATGGTGTTTCTAAAGCTTTTTATTGCTGTGGTACCAAAGAAGTAGAAAACTGTTTAAGTTAAATTCTCCTTAATGTGAGAAATTCAACACTAAAACATAAGATTTTGTGAGGTTGAGTTAAGCTTTGGAGGGCTACACATTATTGTCATATCTAAGAGTTCTCCTCACCTATTAACTGGTCTTCTGAAAACAATGTCACCCCCTTAGAAATGTGTGATCGGTGGTCTTCAGTCAAAAAGTAAATCATTGCTCAAAAACATTCCCTCTCCCTTTTATCTTCTCCAAAGAAAGGACAATTCTAGCTTGTTTTATAGGCAAATTTAACCAAACATTAAAGGAACAGAAACTCCTATCTCATTAAACAAGGAAAACTCCCTCATGAATTTTATAAGATTGATATAGTAAAATTTGACCCACCCAGTGTGAAAAGTCAAGTTTAAGGCCGATCTCACATCCTTTTTTTTCGTTATTCATATATTCCTTTGGTCATTTAATGGTTCACTAAACTTCAAGAAGCTCAAACTATTAAGCCTCTGCCCTCTGGCAATTGCTGTTCTGGATATTAGTAACAAACAATAATGAAGACAAAATCTCTGCCTCCTGGAAATTATATTTTCATTAGTGAAGATGGCAAAATCCCAAAGTCCTAGAAAGGAAAAAAAAAAGATACAATGTAGCAAATTCAAATAACATAGTATGAGAGAAGATGATAAAAACATTCTTTTGATTCATTGTATAGAAAAGGTTAAGGTAATTTATTTGCTGATCAACTTCACTTTATAGGGAGAAGGAAAAAGGGAAAACAATGGAATGTGAATGAATCTGGATAAAGTTTCATTTGAAATTGCATTACTCTGCAAATAAGAGAATTATAGAAATTAGAGAATTAGTGTTTTATTTCATGCACCAAAACTTCTGGAGGTTGGAAGTTTTGGGTTGATCAGAGTTATCAAGGGTATAGAATTGTCTCCTCTTCCTCTAGCATCTCTAATGAGAGCATTTATTTCAATGAAATAGCTCTTATTCCTGCAGGTATCACCTCTGCACTCACTGTCAAGACTTGAGAAAAAGAAAGAGGCTTTTAAAAAATTTCTGGAAGGTTGATCCACTGACTTCTATTTAAACTTATTGGTCAGAACTTGGTCATATAACCACTCCTGCTGCTGTAGAGTCTTGTGAAGTTGAAACCAGGGCTCATTACTAAAAAAATAAAGTGATAATAGACACTGGTGGCCTTCTAACATCTTGTGCCAGAACCACAAAATTTTTAATCCCAGAGATGCAAGGTTGATTTAAAATAAGAAAAGCCCAATAAAGTAATCTATCACATTAGCAAATTAAAGAAGAAAATCATATCATCTCAGTGGGTACTGAAAAAAGAGTTGGTGAAAATTCATCACCTCTTCATTTAGGTCATTCTTATATTCTTATTTTTATAATAAGAATAAAATAGGATTGATTTTCTTAACCTGATAATGAGAATATTCCAAAAATCTACATCATATATCATATTTAACAGTGAACTGTTCAAAGTAGAACTTTTATGTTCAGGAACAAGAAAGGGATATTGATTACATAAATTTCTGTTTAATATTGTACAGATGATCTAGCCAGAGCAATAAAACAAGAAATACAGTGTACAGACAGGAATGGGAGAAATGAAAAAGTTTCCTTTGCCCATCATGTTGTTTATATAGTAAACCCAAGTAGATTCTTAGATATACAATTAAAAGTTCATGAAAAAAAATTCAGTCACAATGCTAAGTCATCATGTAGAGTTCAATAACATGTACAGGAACAATTACTAATTAAAACTGTAAAGCTGTAAGACACACGAGATCATTTGGAGAAGGAAAGATATGAAGACTTAACTTTACTATATATAAAACCCTACCATAAGTACAACAATGTATAAAATTGAACAATATGTTATTGGTACAGTGATAGGCATGTAGAATAGGCTTGAGGGTCCAGAAACAGAATACATATACCTATCCCCCACACCTCCCACATGGTACACACATGGAACTTATTTATGGTAGTGTAAGCTTTGCACAGTAGTAGGGCAGACACACCAATTAAAATATATTCCATTATCATTATAATAAACACTGACATTGGATGCTTCTTGTTACATAAAAATTCACAGATATAAATTGTGAACAATGGTGTTTATACTTTTTGATTTCAAGATCCCCTTAAATTCTTAACATTTTGTAAACTTTATAGAGCTTTTTTTGTTCTTATATGCTTGTTTGTTTTGTGTATGTTTACTTCTGTTGATAATTACTGTTTTCAAAATTAAAAGACACATTACAAGTATTAATTTTAAGACAATCTGTCTTCCAAAATAAAAATAATTGAGTAAAAAGAGTTGCTGCTCTACATTTCTGGAAATCTCTTAATAAAAGGCACATGGATTTTCATAACCCGCTTTTGCCTTGAATTTATTGTGATATCATATACCATATATACTTTAGAAAATTCGTTTTACATTTATGAATGTGAAAATAATTTTGTCTTTGCAGGCCTTCCAGCTTTCTTATCACACTTTGAAAATGGCTGTTGTAGGGGAAACTTTAGGAGACTGTCTTTTCTGACTTAGTTCATAGTAATTATAAACTACATACAAACAAAAGATTATTTTGATCCATTGAAGTCCATTGAAGTAACAATCTGTTCATCAAAAAACAATAAGTAAAATAAAAGCTGTGACTTGAGAGGATATTTGTAATGCATGTATGTGATATAAAAGATATCTAGAATGTATAAATGACTATTACTTATCAATGAAACCATTTTTAGGAAACTGAGAAAATTCAAATTAAGACCCGTTATTTTTAATATTATCTCATTAGTGTATATCAATTGTACAAAATGAGAGGTCTCATTGTAATATTTCCATATATACATATGGTGTACTTTAATCATATTCACCCCTTCTGTTATTCTTTCTATTCCCCATTTTCTCAACCCCCTTCTTTTTTTATTTTTCTTATGTTTTTTAAATGATAAAACCCAATCATATGCCACTACACATCTATCAGATTGGTATAATAATAGAATTGCATAATTTTAACTATCAGCAAATGATTCAAAGTGGTGATAGCTATGTTGTTTGGGTGGACATAAGTTCTTATTAATACTTTGGAGAGCAATTTCACAGCAAAGTTGGTGTACATAGTTTACAGTTCAACAATTCAGATTTCAATTAAAGCATCCTTACTAGGCTACCACAGACAGGTTGCAGATATGCCGGGTACTGAGGCCTTCATCCTAAAGGTATTCATTGGGCTTGGGTTAGCCATGCCTACCAGGCTAGGAATCTCAGGCTTTCTTGAGTCTTGTTTAGTTGCCTTAGTGTGCTAAATGATATTATTTCTATGTATACCAACATGTCAAAATGTTTGAGAAGAGACATACTTAAAATGTCCATTGTGGGAGCATTGCATAAGGATATTTCTTAAGATAGGTTTCCAGTTCTTAAATGTAGAAATGGGGAGGGAAATAGAAAATATCTTTAGGTGAGAACTGTAGTAACCTTAGGTGAGAACTGATAAATGCTAAAATTAGTGAGTGAAAATATGAGTAGAAAAAGAATATATATCGCCTGAAAGAAAGCATTTCCCTTATTATTGTATTAACTACAAAGAGGAAGATTATAACATTCTAGAGTAGAACCTTGGCATAAACCACCTTACAAGACATGTTGATGTCACAAATCCTGTGTGATAATACACTAAGAAAGTCACATTTCCATGATATTCTTACCAAAAGTGTATAACCTTAGTCCAGTCATCAGCAAACATTAGACACAGTGAAATTGAGGGATATGTGGCAAAATAACTGATAAAAAATGTGAGGACCATAAAAAATGCAAGGAAATGGTGAGGGAGAAATAAGTTAAAGAAAAATGGCCAAATAATATGAGGATTAAAACCATTTCACTTTAGGCACCCAGAAAGGCGTTTTTTCTTCCCAAGCAACCACTGACTGAAGGCAGAGTTCAGTCACACTAAAGATTGTAGGAAATTGCAAAAGCCTTAAGATTTGGATGGATACATGGTGTAGGATGAAAAGCCTTTTTAAAAAAAATAAGCACTTTTTTGAACCTGTGGGAAAAAGAAAGCCTGAGATGTTACTAGTTGAGAAAGTACAGTAAGTAGATGTCAGCTATATAGTACCCATTTTTACCAATTTATTATATGTGCTAAAAACATCATTTAAACTTATCATTTGCTGTTGGGTCTGACTTGTTTATTTCAACAAGCTTTTATTAAAATCCTTATTTCGAAGGATTTTTATTTTGTCATTTGTAACCTCAATCTTTCTTATCTGATTTCTCCATTAATACCTCAAGCTTCTTATCCACAAATGATCCTACTATAATTTTTGTGTTTGTAAATTTTAAAATTTTTAGTTGAAGTAAATGTGTGTGTGTGTGTGTGTGTGAGAGAGAGAGAGAGAGAGAGAGAGAGAGAGGAGAGAGAGAGAGGTAAGTAGGAGTGAAATTTTGATACAATATGTAATGATCAAATCAGGGTACTTAATTACCATATCCATCACCTCAAACATTTAGCATATATGTTGTAAGAATAGTCAAAATTTTCTCCTCTAGCTATTTTGAAATATACAATAAATATTAACTATAGTCATCCTATTGCTTTACAACACTAGGATTTATTCTTCTAGCTATAATTTTGTAACTGTTAACCAACTTCCCATGTATATGTTTAAGAATCTAACACTAAGAAATGAGGAGTTACTATACAATTAATTAATACTGTTTTGTTATAGTGAGTTGTTCCTGTACATGAATGGTCACATATGTAGAGAGACAGTTGATCTTTGTCTTTGGAGTTGTGGTAAACTAATTAAATTATAAAATTATATTTGCTTATACAATATGAGGCCCTCTTAATCTCTTATTTGTCAATGTTTTTCTTATTACCCAAACTTTAAATTTTATAAAGCCCAGTAGGATTTTGTTTTTCAGCACAGTATTACTCAAATTCATTTATCACAAAATGTAATTATTTCATTTGTACTTATCTCTATTTTGAAAGTTTCACAAATATTCAGAGTACTTTTCTAAAGATATTCGAAAATACTGGGAGAATGTCACAGACAAGATTTGGAACTGACTGTTCTAGCTATTTCAGTTTAGGAAACAAACTATATGTACTTTTTACAAAAAAGTGTGTTTCAAAGATACATGCCTTCAAAGCAAGTTAAGACAAATTAGAAATTGGTATGAAGGTAGAAGAAAGGTCTAAAACATTGAATGGATAGTCAAGATTCTAATTAATGACAAAATACCTTAGTTGTTATCTTTTTTCCCCATATTCTCACAGTCTCTTTATTTCCTCAGGCACCCATTTCATATTAAAGAATGGTAGTATTTGTGTGGCATATATAAGAAATTTACATTTTTAATTTATAAAAGTTGCTTATACATAGAAACCTTTCCAACTAGATGTGTGTTCTATTTCAAACTTTTGATTTTTAAAAAGATAATACTAGCTGGGCATGATGATGCAAAGCTGTAATCCCAGCTTTACAGGGTGTGTGGGTAGGAGGATCGAGGTTAGAACCTGCCCCTGGGTGTGGAAAAGCTGATACCATGAATATGGCCAGGCTTCTTGTTTGTTTTTGTGGTGGTGGTGTGTGTGAAATTCAGGGCCTTAGCATGCTAGGTAAGCACTGTACCACAGAGTCATATCTCCATCCCCATGGCCAGGTTTTTAACACAGTCAGGTTTCCCTTTGGGTATATGGACAAAGTAGCAGGGCTAGGGAAACTGGGGAGACCCTCACCAATATTCACAGTAAAAAAAGAAAAGAAAAATACCTAAAGTTTTATGTGAGTATGTACTGCTCCACTCTTGAGTGGAGAGATTGTGAGATAGGTGTGCATTTGTAGAAATCTAGAATTAACTCATACTTTACTATTTTTGTGAGCCTCTAATCCTCTAGTCTTATTTTACTTCACTGAAATAAGTGGGCTCTTCCTGACCCTGAAGCAAATATCTCCGTGGAGAGGAGAATGGAAGACAGGAATTCAAGTGCCCCAGCCATTTATTGATTGTCAAATAATCTCAATAGACTTCTCCCTATCAGCTCTTGATCAGTATGTTTGTTGACTCTGAGCTTAGAGACTTGTTAGAAGCCATATAGAACAAGGAAAAACTGTTTTGAGCATGTGTGATTTCCTCTGTTCTAATTTCTCCAATTCTTTACCATCTGATTTCTTTACCATCTGATTTCTTTCTTCTGGTAATTTATGGAATTTTCTCTTCTACTAGTGGATGCTTCCCCTGGTTTTCTGTGCTAATAATTGTTTCATGCTTAAAACTGTATACGTTGTATTATGTATGTGGGTCCAGGTATGTATACTGCTGCCTCAGAAAGATCTTAAGATGAAGAGTAGATGCACGTATTCATTTTGCCATATTGAACCGGACATGAAGACAAAATTTAAAACTCGGTGGGGCACCACGTATACTGGTACATACCTATAATCCCAGATCTTGTCTCAAAAAACCAAGGGCACTGGTATGTAGCTAAGTGATAGAACACTTGCCTAACAAGTATAAGGCCCTGGGTTCCATCCCCAGCATTGCAAAACAAAACAAAACCAAATATTTGAAATCTTTACACAGAGGAGGTGAGCATTGGTTGGAGGCCACCTCCAACTGTGAACTTTGTGTTTATAACCATAGGGATTCATAGCTATAGAAAAGACAAGAAAGATTAGATTCCAGGAGAATAAATAGATTCAAGACTCCAGGTTGATTTAATATGGGACTGGCACTTGGTAGGATAGAGAAATACTTTTTTAAATCTCCAGAGATGTAACATTTCATATGGACAATTTAGTTTCCAAATATTATCCAGTATGAAAACAAGGTTTTATGTTTTTCTTTCTTCTTAAAATGCACAGTCCTGAATAGATAGCAATAGATACATCATTGAAAAATTATAATTGGATCATTGAAAACATTTAAATTTTTTCTATAAGGTATAATATTAATTAGGTTCACACTGCATGTAAGCTTTTTATTTGAAAAAAATCAAGTATAGTAGAGGGCTCACTAATATAATTATCACAATTTCAACATGTTAAAAATATGTTGAGAAGCAAGTATATATTTGAATTTCAAATGGTACCTAGTTATTCATGTCAGAATCTAAAGAGCATGTTATTGCATGTGTCTTTATATTTTGTTCTTTCTCTTTTAGGTCTCTTTTATACAAAACCTTGTATTTTGTGTAGAAAGAGTCTACCGTGTGCCTGACTTTGGTGTCTGGGAAAGAGGAAGCAAATATAATAATGGTAGCACAGAGCTACATTCCAGGTAATTTGCTGATTTCTGAGAGTGGTGTTTGTTGTAGTTGTTGTTTAAGTGTGTGGAATTTGAATATGAATAAAAATCAAAGCATTAGGTTGAAACTGGTTTCTATGTTAATTTTAAACACATGTTTTTTCTTCCTACAATGAAAATAGACTCACTTAAAATTAAAGCATAAGAGTTGCTCTCAGCAGCATAAACAGAAACTGGAAAGGACCAGGGCCTCCTATCCTCCCAAGGTGTCATTGCATGCATTTCAACTTTCACCTTAATCCACACTTTGGCTTTTTTGCTAAACCAAGTCTTTTCTTTTTTCCTCTTTGGAATTACATTATTTGAAATACCAAATGCATTAAAATTTCCAAGCAGTTGTATATGCATTGGATGTAAAACTCCTTTCCATTTTACAGAGCTAATTGTTATCCTAACCACTGATTTTATACTCTTCAATAAAATTTAATGTTCAGTGTTTTTGTAAGAGCTGTGATCCACATGGTGAGATATAGTGTAGTATGTTTGAATAATCAACAGTAGCTGATGACTGAAGTTAGTAATGTATTTACTAATTAGTGTTAGTGTCAAAGATTAGCTTTAGTGACTGATTCCATCTTTTATATATCTTAGTTTTATGCCCAGGAGGTCACCATTTTTTTTTTTAAGTCTAGCAAGGATTTATTAGACTAATCTGGATCATGTAGGGAAAAGTAAAAAAGGGAAAGAGGTGTACCTCCTGCTTGATATGCGGGAGATGTGAGCAGAGAAGCTCAAAATGTCAATTCTTGTCCTGGGTGCATTTATGTCTTCTGAGCTGAGGATGTTCCCATTTGAATCCTTATCTAGGTCATATTACCTAGCAAAATGATTATTTTGGTAAATTCTCAAGCATGAAAAAATGGGTTTAGGGTGGGTCTATTATCCAAAAACATGGAGAACAGGGGCTCAGAATGAGTTTTATAATTACTCAAAACATGGATCCAAAACATAGGGACAATAAGTATAATATTTATGGAGTTCCTTTCTGGTTGAAGAATGACAGAAGAATCCATTCATCAATCATACTCTTTTATTTTCCTGTCTTCCCTACTAGTTTAAGAAGTTTGCAACTTAACATCAAAAAGAAGGAAGGGTAATGGGGGGAAGGCCTGCTCTTCTCAGTGATTTTCAGCTTAACTTCTTGGTTCTGTTCTAATTCCTGAATTTGGGATATATATACACAACATCCAAGTATAAGATTTTAAAGGAAAAAATCACAGAAACATTAGGGGAAGGTAAAGTCTCTTATCAACCTAAGTGTTTTTGTTTTTGCTGTAAGGACTCAGGAGAAATAAGTTTTATTTTTAAAATGTGCATCCAAGAAGTATGTCGTTAGATGTGACAGTATGTAACTGTTTTGAAAAAATAGACACAAATGGAAGAATTTTACTCAACTATTTGAATAGGAACTCCTGATACCATAGTCTGTCTTTTAACTACATATAGAATGAAAGGCTAAATCTGGAATTCCTGGGATCAGGATGTTAATAGTAAATCTTTTAAGTTTTTGAAAAGCTTCCTGTTGTTTCCTAGACTACTGCAGGTTTGCAGTCTGGTCCTTGCATTGCCTCATAAAGGGGCATAGCTACTAACCCTAAGCCGGAGATCCTCTTTTCTTTTAAATAACTCCTTGAGTATGGACTACAAAAAAGAAAAAAAATGCTTGGAATCAGTAGAGATAGTAGTCATTTAAAAAATATATCTATTTAATTAAATAGAAGACTTTTGTCAAAAATCTGAGTTTGCCTTTTGGTTTTTTTTTTTTATTCATTATTCATATGTGCATATATTGTTTGGATCATTTCTCCCCCCTGCCCCTTGTGAGTTTGCCTTTTGTCATAGTGCTTGGAATGGCTTTAGTGTCAGTAAACCATGTGTAGGAAACTTTTCTCCATAATCTCTCAACCTTAGTTACTTTCAAAAGGGTTAGCACAACTGACTCAACTCAAAATCCTCTTGAAAGTCAACTTTTAACTTAAAAACAAAAAAAAAAATGGAACTTAATAAGTCCCATCCATGTTGCACTAAAATATGTTGAACTAAATTTTATCACTAGAGGTAAATTCTGATTACTGAGACTTAAATGAAGAGAAATAGCCTATAAAACAGTTCAGAAGAATCTACAACTGTATATTTTTTTGATAGAAGAACTAATCACATATAACAAATTAAAATAATATAAAATATTTAGTAAAATAAAAACAGGCCCAAGAATCCTACCTATGTAACCTTTCAGCATGTAAGCTTCCTCATCTTTATGCTTGATCTTAGCCAAAAGACAAAAGAGGTGATGAGAGTTTCCTCATCTTTAAAATAAAGATAAGAGTATTTATTATTTTATAGAACTGTTGCAATAATTTAGTTTATATATTTGTATATATTTGAATACCTGTCATTAGTAATAACTAGAATACTAATGTAATCACACATTTAAAAACATCTTATAACAAAGATTAAAATAAAAAGGACTGTGTGATTGATCCTAGTAAACTAATATACAAACCTTTTTCTATAGTTTTTATGATTTATGTGAAGCATTTTGACATATAGAGCAAAATAGTAGCAATCAGTAAAGAATTCCATGAAATAGAGAAAAAATTAGTAGGAAAGCTAAACAAATTCTGGCAGGTACTAAAAAGAGTAAGATAATTACATATTCTAGCCATCTGTCAAATTAAGTTCTCAACAATCCAGACTCAGTTAAATTATAGAAAGAGTACATCCTTTATGAAGAATAAAATTGGTCAGTTCTATGTACTGAAAATAACAAATTATAAGAAAGAAGTAGATCTGATATGATTTTAAATTTTGTTCCTTTTTAATATATTTGTCCCTCCCTTGTTTTTTAATAAGCATTTAAGAATATACTGTGCTATTCCACTGCTATTATTTGTAGTATGCAATATTTGGACCAGAAGTTTTTCTGTTATAAAACCTATAACACATTCAGAAAGAACTTTGAATAAATGTTATCTCGAACCTTAGAAAGTGAGGGTCTTGGATGGTCCATAGTGGGAAAAATGGAGGCTCCAACTTATTTTCCTGTAATTCAGGTGCCAGTCTTTAAGTTGAAACATTAGATTTTATTTCAAGGCTTGGAAATCATTAAGATGTTCCTTGCTAGCTTTTGTATGCAAAATTAATCTTAATTGTAGCAGGCCAATTTTGTTCAAATGAATAGGAAATAAAGTTAGGTTTGGATAATGGCTTTTATACATTTAACATTGATCTTCTCATTGTTCATGGTACAACATTTTATAATTTCCCAAAAGAACTTGATCACTTTCTTTTCAATAACTCGTGAACTCATGTCTCCATAAGCCTGTGTTGGATGTGTCACCACCTCTGGTGACAGAAGTATGCATTTGAAATTGCAGAACTGAGCTCCATAGTGCTCATGGACACAGTGATGGCATTTTGATGGCATCTTTCTGCTCCTAGACCTGCTTAGTGGGATCTAGAGCAGCCAGGGACCATGTCACAACTCTTTTTACTGCTAACATAGGATACCCTTAAATTATCCAAGGTTAGTTGGGTGTGTTCATTATTGCTGAGTGAAATATCCTGGCTAGATTTTTAGGCTTTTCTCATAATTTCATATGGCTTTGAATTTGTATGTACAGGTACTCTTCAATTTAGATGGGGTTGCTTCCTGATACTCATTGTAGGTTGAAGGTATCATAAGTCAAAAATGCATTTAATCTACCTAACTCACTGAGCATCATAGCAACACAGCACGCTGTGGAGTTTCAGCTGTTCATCTTTATTAGCATATGGCTGACTGGGGGCTATGACTTCTTACTACTGCCCCACATCACAGGAGAGTATCATACTACATACTTCTCTCCTGGGAGAAGATCAAAATATGAAGTATAATTTCTACTGAATGCCTATTATTTTTGCACCATTGTAAAGTCAAAAGAAAAATCATTAAGTCAAATCATCATACCTTAGAAACAGTTTGTAGTAATAGTTGCTATAAGTACTTCTCTTTGCCTTATGACTTTCTCCGATCCTCCTCTTCTATTTTGAGACTATATAGTCCTCCTTAGCAAAAGGCAGAGAGAGAACAAAGCACAATTTGACTGTTGCCTTGGTACTCACTGAGGCCTTGGCTAAAGTGACTGGCTCCTTCTTCCCTTGCCACACTGGGTACTACACTCTTAAATTGCATTCTGTGTTCAAGATTCCTGTCCCAGAGCCACTAAAATGCACACTCACATTATACTGAACTCACAGGCTCCCTTTTCAGCATCCATGCCTAGCAGTCCTTTCCTAGTTGCACGAACAGTTATAGAATATGTATTTAAGACAGGCCTGGAACATAAGTGCTTTTTATATAGGAAGAATCTAAACTTTAGAAGATTTTATGCTTTTTTTCCCACTTAAATTACACATTTCAGTAAGTGGTAGAGCCAGAACTGAATTCCAAGTCGTTAGCCTCCAAATGCAAAGATGTTTTTTAAAGCTTTAAAAAATTTTTTCTTGATGTGGCTCTGTGGTATGGAATTTGCCTAGCATGCTCAATGCTTGGGTTTGATCCCCTGCTGGGGGGAGGGGACACTTTTCTAAAGTTACCAAAAAAATAGGATATAAACTTTTTAAAACTGTGACCAGTAATGTTATCTTTATTTCCTAATCAGTATGGCTTGATTCAGCTTAATGCTTTGGTCAAATATTTCTTGATCTAGCCTGTTTTCAAACCCAGGTTTGCTGATATTGCTTATGTCCAAACTTGAATTATTTAGTATTTCTTAGATAGGCCCCAAATGCTTTTCTGTGCAATACTCTTCCACTTATTTAACACCAGTTTAGCCCTAGCCTCACCCTCACCCTTTCCAGGGCTTCAGTAAAATAGTTTATTGCTCTAAACTCACTGTGATTCTCTTGAAATGTTTCCTAAGCAAGTTTTGATTTTTCTGTTGATTTGACTTTTCTCAAGAAACATGCCCATTTCACTTTCTTCTAGGATATCTGGAATTATGTCAGATAATGTTCTTACTTTCTATTGTTCAGTCTATTTTGGTTAATGCCCTCATATTTTTAATCGTATAATATTCGGTTTAATTACATTTTCCTCCATAAATCATTTTGGTACCTATTTATTGTAGCACTAATTCTTACCTATATATCCAAGTAATCTTCTCAGCCTCTCCAAGTTTAATGCAAGTATTTTAATCTTTAAATTTTTCTCTTCTCATTAGTGTAAGGATATTCCTGCTCCTTGGAGCTTCTTTGCTTTGGTGAAGAAACAAGTTTTTCCTATATTGTGAATTGAATCCTAAATCCTAATGTTGATTTTTTTTTACTACTAACAATCAAAAAGGACAGCTGTACTTAATAATTTAGTAATATGAATATGTGCCCAAGTGGAAAAAACAGTTTATGAAACATTAACTCCTATATAGAACTTTTTATTCAACAATATCATTTCCTCTTTTCTTTGCTAAGTCTTATGTTTGCAATATAAAGATGATATTATAGTAAGAGTCAAAAATCTGATTTTTAATTTCTTAAAACCATTTTATGTTCTATTCTCTTGGTTATTGTAATAAAGAAAACCACCACTAAAATATTAGGTTTGTAGCAATCATAGTACCACTTAACTCAGTCTGATACACTTTTATTCACCATTTTACTCCATATAGTGCTTATTATTTCAGGTAACCAATTAGTGTTCTTAAGTCGTTTTGATGTTCCAGTCATTGTACTAAGACAGAGGCTTCTGTCCATCCATTCTGCTTCATTTTATGTATTTTTTTCCATTCTGAACAATTTACAACCATCCATTAAAACCATAGTACTATAAGGTCCTATTCTTCTAGGAAGTGTAATTGGAAGCAGGAGATTGTGAATTTAGTTTTCATGGCTGCCATTTACTTTTGTCGATTTCCTGATGAGTTATAAATTACCTAGTCTAAACTCCATCAATGTTTCTAGAAAGTTTTAATTTATGTAACAAATCATTTTATTGCAAACCATCTTCCAAGCAAATATTGCTGTATTTTAGCCCCCTCAACTTAATGTTAGAATAAAAGATGTTATGGTGTCACTTTGCAAGAGTCAAATCACCTAGTATTAATATTTTCAGTACCTAGTAATAGAATTAAGTTTTCTGAGAATGTCTTGTGCCATCAAAATATTTAATTCTTACAATGGTATGTATTGTATTTGCCAGTAAAATGTAATATCACACTAGGAATGTATTTGGGTTTCCAGATAGCTTGCTGTTTCCAGATATTTAAGTGAGCAGTAAACAATAATTGAACATATGTATGAATTTATAGTAAGTCTAATTATTTAACCAGTTGTATTGGGAAAGAAAGTTAAAATGTAAAGAATTCAATAAATATTTACTTCGGTTCTTGCTCAGTGTTTGTTTCGTTGGTTTTTTGTGATAGTATATTTAGAAGACAGTTTCCAAATTCATCCATAGCCTCCACCTTCTTCTCTTTCTCTTTCTCCTGCTTCTGCTTCTTTCTTCTTCCTTCTCCTCCTCCTCCTTCATCTTCTTCACCTTCATCTCCTTCCTTGTCTTCATTTTCAGCTTCATCTCTATATTGCATATGGATAGCTCTCTATAGATCAAAGGAATAGAATTAACAGTCCAGAAATAAACCCATATGGTTAATTCATTTTGATAGAAGTCAAAAGAGACAGTTCAGTTAAAAGTAATTTTTTTTAGCATATCTTGCTGGGACAACAGGAAGCTCACATGCAGACCTATAGATTTGGACCCTTGCCTCACACCATAAACAAAAAATAACTTGTAAGACCTAAAACTATACAATTCAGAGATCAAAACATAGTTGAAAATCATTGTGACCTCGGATTATGCAATGATTTCTTAGATGTGACATCTAAAACAGGCATCACAAAAGAAGGTTTGTACAGGTTTTTTTGTTTTTGTTTTTGTGGTATTGGGGCTTGAACTCAGGGCCTTCACCTTGAGCCACTCCACCAACCCTATTTTTGTGAAGGGTTTTTTGAGATAGGGTCTCGCAGAACTATTTTGCCCAGGGTGGCTTGGAACCACGATCCCTTTGATCACTGCCTCCTGAGTAGCTAGGATATGGGCATGAGCCACTGGCGCCTGGCTGAAAACTGACATTTCTAACAAGTTTCAGATGATACTGCTGCTCCTGCTACTCTGTAGACCATAGTTTGATAGTCACTGCTTTGGAGAAATACTGCATTATTTACAGATAATTAATTTTTAATGATATTAATTACTTAATGCAGTTGCTTTGAGTAAAACAAAAATTTCAATAAGTAAAATAAACTGGACATTAGATCTGAAACATTTTAAGGTAGATATTAATAAAAACAATGTTGCATTTTTAATGAAATGGGTCTTCCCATTTACCAGCACTATTGTATGTGATATTTGAGAGTCCAAAGGAGCAGGATAGTGAGGGAACTAATATTCACTTTATCACAAAGAGAAGAATAGAGGAAAGAATTAGAGGTATATAGTGATCAGTTATTTAGTGATCATAAAATAATGCCTCTTTTATTGGAAACTAGAAAAAGAATATTATATTAAACCACACTCTGTAACAAGTGTATGAAATACAAAATCTTTTTTAAGACTTAGAATTGACATCGAAAAGCTCTATTACATTGATCTGAACTACATTGATGCCCAACTTGGTAAGCACTGCACATATCAACATAATACGCCTTTGTCTAAAATTCATCTTTTTTTCCTGAGTTAGTGAATAGAAATGAAACTGGAATTAAAACTACTCTTATCTATGGTATGGCTCATAATCTACATCAAGGTGAACCTAGAAGTATCTTCCCCAGATGATCACTAACTATAAAAAAGAAGAAAAGTTAAAATAGTGAAATGTCAGAAAGGACTCTTACACATTGTTCTCTTATGGAAGCTGTTATAAGTGTTAATGAAGAAATTTACTTATGAATCTTTATCACATAATGGTTCTTATTTTGTAGCCGTATATTTCAGAGTAATGAAGTATTTTTTTTTCTCTCTTTTAGCTCTGTTGGCTTAGCAAAGGCAGCTCTAGAAGCAATTAATGGATTCAACCTTTTTGGCAACCAGGTAAAAAACAATCAGAAGTTTTTAGTTATTGGAATTGACTGTTTGTAATAGTTATTCATTACCAAAATCATTTTCCTATAATTAATATCTGTCTGAAATTTATGTAGCAGCCCATGCTTGAACAACTTGTTCTTTGAAAATGATTTCCAATTAAATTTTGGTTTTCTCACTGAAAATCATTTCTTAATTAAAAAAATCTTATAAATAATTCTGATTTTTGCTTCAATAACTTCCCTCAAATTCTCTTCCTCGTTTTTTAGGGGTTTTTAATATTCCTGGTATTATATATTTTCCATGTCAGTTCTTATGTGGGCTTCAGTTGAATGTATATGTCATGCAGAGGAGAATTAGTATAATGTGTACAACCAGAGAATGGGAAGTTTTGATTCTACTTTCACCCTCAACTACCTGTAATCATATGTATAAAATCACATTTTCTTAAGATCTTTAACCAGTTTTTGCATCAAAAGAAACTAATCAACTGACCATAGTTTGAGTTGCCAGTGGATCAGAATAAAATTTAAGAATAAAGGTTATTACTAGTCTGTATCAAAATGTATGGCAAGTGTGAGACCCTGAGTTTAAATCCTAATACTGCCCCCCCACCGGAAAAAAAAATAAGACAGTTTTCTTAGCAATTTTCATAAATTCCTGAAATGACAAGGCCATATAAAATCTCCAACTGATACTGTAATTAACACTAAGCTATTAAAATGCTAAGTCAGTGGAGATGCATTTTAGGAAGTTACACAGATCTGAAAAAAGTGATATGATTTTTGTTATGACAGTTAACACTAGTATATCTCTAGATACTTAAACTTAAAAAAGTCTCAAGTGATAATACAACTGCACTTCTTCCCCTTCCTATAGATACCAATTCTTCTTACTCCAACTTCCTCTGGAGGATGGGCTCTAGTTATATCTAGCATAAGAGAAATGGCTACAACATTTAAAGGAGAGTGCCCCCACTTCTGAGTTCCCAAGAGGTGACCCTTGTTGGAATTAATAATCCTCCAGTGTCAAAACAGACACACAAGAGACAGAAAATCTTGACAAGGCAATTTCTCTTGATCAAGAAGGTGCAAGCATGTGCTCACTCCCACTAAGCAAACACACAGCATAAAATGGCTGACCGTGGCTCCTCCTTATATCTCTGACACAGTCATACCTGCCCCTCACCTGGGATTTGTCCAGGTCAGAGGTTCACAATCTCCCTCCATTGGCTAAAAGACTTGGAGGATGGGTTAGGGCATATAGTTTGAGGGCAATGGAGTTGTATGGGAATCTGGAAGAAAAAGCAAGGACCCTTTAAACATGCAAGTCATCTAAGATGGTGACCTGAGGAATTTTTAAATAATCTAAGAGGGTAACAAATACTTTCATAGAAAAGATCATTTTTCTTATACCCTGGATCACCCACTTGGCACACTCCTGGATGGATAGATGGATAAATAGATGGATAAAACATGGCATTAAAGAATGGCATATTAGGAGTGAGGAAACAAGCATATAGTTATGCTCTTTACCTAAGTATCACCTTCTTTGTTTAGAAAAAAGGAAGAGATATTGATAATAAGATGTTTTATGTAAATAAGAGTGAACTTAGTTAGCAGAGTGCATGGCAAAGATATAATCCCATAAATGAAGTAATATCAGACAAGGGAAATGAAAAGATTGACAGTCCTCTAGAGAGTTTCTCAAGGAGACTAATGGCAGTCATGGATTAATCAGATGGGTGCAATCTGATGAAAATTTCAGCAAAATAAAGTAAGATACAAAATCAACATAGGAAAATCAGCAGCTTTTCTTTTTACCAATAATGAGCAAGCTAAGAAAGAAATCAGGAAAATGCTAACGAGTTATTTCCTTGTTTCCTCTTCTTTCCCTCAGTTTTTGTTCCCACTGAAAACTTTCCCACCAAGCCAACCAATGAATTCAGTTTGCATAATCCTGATTTACATCTGTTATCCCGAATTAATTTTTAATAGTGTCACATTACTGGTTTGGAGATGAATTAGTTGGTCACCCTACTATGGTTAACAGTGATAAAAAGTGGTCAATTTTCAGTCTTATTTGACTTCTTGACTTTATTGGACAAATGATTATTCCCTCCTTCTTCCTTTAGTTTCTGATTTAATCTGCTCTCCTTTTTCAAAGACCTTCCTCTTCAGTTTCCTTTGTTGGATACTATTAAGATTTGTCATACTGATGTCTCCCGGATTTAACTATTTTATGCTTCTCACTCTCACACTCATATATCCAGCCCTGCCTTCTCTCCTGAACTTCTGACTAGGCTGTTTAACTGCCTAAGAAGCATCTTTATTTTAATGTTTAATAGGCACTCCAAATTCAAAATTTCCAAAACCAAACTCCCAGTTTCCACCCATACTACCTCTATACAGCTAAATATCTACACTGATATCCTCTATTATGCTGGGTAACATTATCAGTCAGTTACTCAGGTCCATAACTGAAGCATGATTTTTAACTCTTTTTTGTATTATACTAATTTGTTTGTAAGCTAAATTTACTGATTATACCAGTATATTATCTGTGGTAAAATCTCTTCTACTGCCAACATGGTAGTATGAGCTATAGTTATTCTGCTTGACTATTAAAGTAACTGAACTGATCCCCTTCTATTCCTATCTTGCCCTCCTACAGTTTGTTCTCCACACAACAGTGTTTCCTCTTTAAACACAACTCAAGTTTTAATGTCCTTCTGTATCTCAGTACCTCCATGGGTTTGGCTTGTTCTTATTTTTCTAAGAGCTATACATGCATCATTAGGATATTTATTTGAAATCTGTCTGATTTAAGAAATCAGTATAAGTGCTCAAAGCTGGAACTTTCTTCTTAGCACTGCCTTTGCTGTGTCCCAAAGGTACTGGTAAGTAGTTTTTTCATTTTATTACAGGAATTTTTTGTTTTCCTTCCTTATTTCTTTAGTAACCCACTGCATTCAAAAGTGAGTTGGTCAGTCTCCAATGTTAAAATATTTTCTAAAGTATTTCTTGGTAGTGATTTCTAGTTTTAATGCATTTTGATCTGACATGACACAGGAAGTTATTTCCGTTTTCATGTGTTTGTTAAGACTTGATTTATGTCTATTTTGGACAAAGTTCCATGGATTGCTGAGAAGAATGTATATTCTACAGCTGTTGGGTGGAATATTCTGTAGGTGTCCCTTAAGTCCATTTGATTGAGAGTGTCAAATATTTCTCAAGCTTCCTCGTTGATTTTTTTTGGTCTGGAGGGCCTATCTATTGATGAGAATGAGGTATTAAATTCACCCACTACTCGTCCTGGCTTTTGAGCTTTGTTTGCTTTGAAAATGTTTTCTCATCCTTTAACTTTAAGCTTGTGTTTGTCAGTGAGGCAGGTTTCTTGTAGGCAACAAATGATTCAGTCCTACTTTTTAATCTAGTCTGCCAGTCTATGTCTTTTGATCGGAGAATTGAGGTTATTAAAAGTCTGAGTTAATATCAAAAGGTATGTAGTAATTACTGACCTTTTTTAATTTATGCAGTGTTTAATTTTTCCCTATTCATCTTTGCTTATTCACTCATCTGGTGAGCATATTTTCATGGTTGTGTCTATTTTCCTCTTCTGTGTGTAGGATATTTTTGAATATCTTGGCAGTGCTGGTTTAGTAATCATGAATCACCTTTGTTTTGGTTTTTGTTTGTTTGTTTTTAATCATGGTAGATTTTTATTTCTTCATTTAGGAATATAGCTTCTCTTGATACAATAATCTAGGTTGTCAGTTATTTTCTCTCTGAGCTTGAAATACATTGTTCCTTGCCCTCCTTGCTTTTAATGTTTCTGTTGGGAAACTTGCATTTATTTTGATGTGCTTGCCTTTATAGGTGATTTTGCAGTTTTGCCTTGCAGATTTCAATATTCATTTCTTGTTCTGTATATTTAATATTTTAACTATAGTATAAGGTGGGGAGATTCTGTTCTGGTCTTGTTTGTTTTAAGTCCTACAGGCCTCCTATAGTTAGATGGGCATTTCTTTCACCAGATTGTGGAAATTTTCTATTACTTCATTATGTTTCCTATGCCTTTAGCTATGAACTCATTTCCTTCTATGCCCAAGATTCATGGGTTTGGTCTTATAATAGTGTCCCAGGGTCTTGCATATTTTGTTTACCTTTCTTTATTCTTTTATCTTCATCTTCATCTGATTTTTCTGTTGACTGTACCTTGCCTTCAAGTCTTAACATTCTATTTGAGTCAGTCTACTAGAGGGGCTTTGAATTCACTTTTTTATTTAACTTATAGAGCTTTTTCATGTCCAGAATTTCCATTTGATTCTTTTCTAGATTTCAATATCTTTATTGAATTCCCCTTTCATGTCTTGCATTGTCTTCCTTATTTCATCCACTTCTTTATTTGTATCCTCTATGAATTCATTGAGGTGCGTATGTATGTCCTCTTTACTTGATCATTCTTTTGAGTTCAGTATTTGAGATTTTTTTGTGCTTATTGGCTTAGATATCATGTTTCCTTATTTTTTCATGATCTTGTGTTTAGGCATTGAGGTTTGCTCATCTGAAGTCAAGTTGTTAGTTAGGGGTTTTAATCACCTAAAGTCTTGCAGGTAAACTGTTTCCTATGTTCTGGCAAGACTGGGCGGTGGCAAGGTTCATGTGCCATTTCTCACCATTGGCACGGGTTATAACTTAGCATTAACAAGTTCACCAATTCACAACCAAGCCAAATATTTACTTGAAGTAAAAAATAATTGGCAACATCATCTACACCCCAATCATATTATATATGAAAAGGACTAGCTTTCATATAGTACACCAGTGGGTTAAAAAGTTATTTATGAAGGATTTTTAAATTAGGTAGTAAAACTAAGGTGGCTGAGGGAAAGAAGAATGAAGATGGGGAGAAGGAAGTGAATGATGTGCAGAAATACAGTTTAATTATTGTGGACCCAAAAGCAGTAATAAAGATCAGGGCAGAAATTAATGAAATTTAGACTGAAA